ATAATACTATTTAATAATATAAAGTTGAATTATTTATAAATTTATAACTTTAATAAAAATGTCAATCTGTACTACAGAAGAAAGTTTTACCTCTACTCTTACTGAGCGCAAAAATATTTAAGAGTGTATTACAAAATCTACACTAATAAACGCATTCTCACGGTACTTGACAAAAACTTTTTACAAGGTTAAATAAATTGGAAATGCACGTTTTACAAATTTTTAGTTGCAAGGGAATGTGTTTTGAATGAGCCGAGCTGATTTCATAATAATGACACAGATTAAACAACTCATTCATCGTCTAATACATAATATGTATATGCATGTTAATCTTTTACAGTTTAATGATACCATAATTTATTGTATGAAATCATAATAATAAAGAAATATTAACGTAAAAAAATGTTTCACTTTACACGTTACAATATTTATAGAACTAACCCAAATCTTCGGAAGATTAACGATTTAAATTATAATTTATGACTCTCGCGCTTCGATACTCGCATGGATTAGATTAAAACATGTTAACAACATATACTTGATTTATCATCAATTTTGAATCACATATTATTCGCTTCTTATTGCTTTTCGAGGGAACTTTGGATCAAATAAGTAAAATGTAAATTATCCTCTTAAAACCATATTAAAAAACATGACTTGTGACGTAAAAATCAAGACAAATCATTTTTGAAAAATGCCAAGCTATAGGTAATTGTATTTTTACGTATTTTTGCATTTCAATGATTCAGATCTTAAAATTTGTCTACTAAATATTATTACACCGAGTATCCCACTCTGTATGCATTAAATAACTGACATTCAATTAAAATGTAAAAATGACCAGCTGCACTTTGATTTAATCACGTAAATCATGAGCCAACCACCGTACGACTGAAATAATACTTGGTACTAATTTGTTTTGAAATGTTGAGCGCAGCATCAGCCTGGATCCAGAAGAGGACGTGCAAGACCCCGACCTGTTCACCGGCTTCGCGAACTACCTCGATCGGGACCTGAGCCCCGACGAGCGCGAACGCGTCTTCGCAAAAACCATACCCAGGATCGCCAAACAGGCCAAGGCTCTGAAAGCGCACAAACCGCCGCAGGGCTTGCACTTTAGTTTACAGCAACAGGGCATGTTCTTATATATATGCTCTTTAATTCATCGTCTCTTGGGTATAAGGTGAACAATAAATTTTTACTCCCCGCTTTTCATCCCCAGGCGATACGATAGAGCACAGCTACGCGTTCGTGTCTTCCCTGATAGCGAACGCCTTCTTCTCCACGTACCCGAAACGAACCCTCAAGACTCATCCGACACTGCGGGACTTTAACTTTACGAATTTCTTCAAGCACCTGCACTTGTAAGTTAAAAAAACAACAATATAGCAATCCAAATAATTTATAATGAGCCATATAAACGTTTCAATGGTCTTTTATTACTGTGGTTTTTTTTTTCCTCTTCCGATTAAAACTACGATGAAAAATAATAGTTATGAAATCGTACATGTATGTAAAACAACACGTACAAATGATTTCCAAATCAATATCGATGTCATATTGAATAATCTCGAGTCAAAGTGAGAATTTAAACAAAAGTACTCGCTATGTATAAGTAAATGATATTGCACGAGACAGCGGGTTGGAATTAGTTGGGGAAATCGTTTTAAAACCTTGTAATGTGAAATAATGATTAAACGAGTGAGAAAAAAGGCACGTAGAAAGAAAAATAATGATAACAATCCTAGAAACAGCCAGAAAGCAAAGTTGCGCGGAATATTCCAATACTTTGACTACCTGGACAGCGGCGGGGAAAAGGTGCTGGATGGCCAACTGTTGATATCGCGGCAGGTGATGCTGTCGAAGCAGTGGCTGACGATCGAGGACTGGTTGGAGAGCAGCGCCTGTCTGTGTCCTCTGACCATCCGCCACGAGGGTAGGCTCGAGCGCGTGGATCAATTGGACTCGAAGCCCGCGATGCAGGTGTGCTTCGCCAGTAGGAGCTTCGGCGACGGTGTGCTCGAGGCTGCCGCCACTCAAGAGACTATACAAGTAAGTAAGTACGCACGACAGGCTTATTGTTGTTGTATTTCGCCGTTTGACGATTTTTAAGGGGCGTTGCGACTTTTTGCTTCGGCAAGTGGTTCGTGGAAACAAATACATTCATACAAACTCACAGAAGAGTCGGTTTATCAAATCGGAGAAATAATGGGTCAAAGATTATACTAACGGCTTTTCTAAAGCTTAAATTATATATGTTTTTACCTTCCGAAACTGCTTTTTCAAGATGAGAGTCCAAATAAGGGCGATATGTGTATTGTTGTAAACAAATTTGTAAATTTTAAAGTTTTTACAATCAAAATGTCCATTTGGAATAACAGAATCCCAAGCGAATAAGATATCTTGTGATTTTTTTCAAATTTTATGATTTAACGCTTATTTCGTGGACAACTCCACTTATATTTCATTATTAGACAATCTGTAAAACTTAGTCTACCCATTCCTAATCTCCTACATAATTTTTTAAGGTAAAAGTCTAAGAAGGTGCGAATTTATTTANAAAGATAAATTCCCCTTTTTTTTTTTTTTTTTAAGTGAAAAACAATTGTCATCTTTTCGCTCCAAATTATGTATGCTAAGTAACATTATTCTCTATGAGAAGGGGTAGTCCTAGTAAGTTTCTTTAATTTCTACTTACTCTCAGCAATAAAATTATTGTGTGATTTGTAAAGGACATGATTGGATTAAAAAAAAACGAGTAGTTATCAGTTGATGAGTCACTCCGATTTTTCTCTAGATTTATTCATAAATCAAGATAACCAATTGAGATGTTCCAATCATTCAAAAATTGTTGTAAAAAATCAAATGTATTTTAATGTGAGGAAAACACATGCATACAATGAAAATGACCGATTTGTCGGAGACACTATAATCAGACGTTGACACTTGCCTCATTTTATAATAAAATTCCATCGCCCTGCCAACAGGTAGCGACGCATCCCGAGCTCCTAGCGGCCATCCTGTCCGTGGAGGCGTTGGAAGACAACGAGGCTCTAATCGTTGAGGGCCTGCGCCACATATCCCGGATCCAAGATCCCAAGCACCGCGCGATATTCGAAGCCGTTCCCGAACCAAAGACTGCAAGTCCAATCACCATCTTCGTATATTTCATGAGCGAACAATAAAAGAAAGAAAAAATCCAATGCTGCATTGTCCGCGCAGGTGATGGTCTGCTGCATCGACGCGGAGGACTACTCGGGACTGCCCTTGGCACAGTACGAGGAGGACAACGTGCTCAGGGAGCTCAACAAGTCGCTGCTGGGTTTTCGGCAGCGCCGACCGCCCCAGAGCCCGACCGCGAGCTCGTCGTCGCCCGCGACCGAAAGTGAGAGTTGCGCGCGAAGGTTGTCGCCGATCGGCGAGAGCTTTAGCAGCGCCTCCCCGGAGATGGACGACGCCGCGCGCAAGGCTTACGAAAAATTGAACGGTAGCCAAGGTGAGTCGAGACCAAAGTTAGTTGGGATGGAAATATTTTTGCCCATCGTTTTGGAAAATTTTTACCATAGGACATCTCATGCGTTGCATTCTACACGTATTTACATGAATTTTAACATATTTTACAATACTCAAGATGTGCGTCCGTTGAAATCATATTTAATCGGTCTATGAAAAATTTGTAAGTTTAATCTGTTTCCCTTTGGGTACAAAAGTATTTAATTCATCAATAATTATATACAGTGTACCTATTGTGTAATTTTAAATTTTTAACATTTGCATGTAATTTTTATTTTATTTTTTTTTTTTCATTACGTGCATGAAATTTACTTTCAACAAATAAAACTTGTATTTCCCACGAATACGTTTGAAACAAACAAACGCAAGAAACATTGTGCATTAGCGTAGCATGATTGATTAGTGCATATAAAAACTGATTTACCATAACTTTGCTTTTAATACTCTAATTAATGTAATGATTTTAATACAAATGAATAATCGCAAGAGGGAAAAACAAACAATTAATGGGTGTGTATGATATCATAATTATATACACGTTCAATCTAGGTGATGGTAACTTTTTTTCTTTCAATAGCCAATTATTATTTAACAGCCGTGTTTTTCATCTTCATCTCAGGATTTCCAAAAAAAAATAGTTTTACGTTTTTTTACAATTTTAGTAATTTATTTGTGAAACTGATGCTCCTCACTGAAAGGTACGGGGGTTAATTTTTCATCCAACAAAACAATTTGAATTAGATGATAAACGATATCCCCACCTATATGCATGAATACCATATGAATGTAACGATTAGTTACCGGCATACTTTATAAAATAATTTATTTTTGTACAATAATGTTCTCACTAAATGCAGCACCATTTAATTTCACAAATTAATAGTTAATTTAATTTTTTTATGGCAATATTCCCCGTTGAATTACAAAATTATCCAATTTAACGAACAATTACATGTTTATAACCTGTAAAAAATACCGAGATATTTTCAGGGTCACAACTGGCACCCACGGAGGTCCGAACGCGGGGCAACGGCTCGTCGGCCTCGACAACCCGAGCCACGAGCCCGGGCCGCCTGTTTAAGGCCAACAGCGGCGCCAACAGCACCTGCACCGGCAGACGCAGCCGGTTCATCGTGTTGGGTTCGAGCGGCGAGGCCTTGCCGGTCACGCGCAAGTCCATCGCCCACTCCTCGGTTTACAACAGCCTCAGCAGCCAAAGCACCGATAGTTTTCACAGCGCCAAGGAGACCATCGACGAGGAGCCTGCGGGTATTACGCTTGTATACATTTGCCCGTGATAAATATAAATTATAGCACTGTGTGATGTGATAAAATGTACCGATTTAAATGGACGTTTGATGTTGGGTTTTGCTTTAGAAAACGACGAGGACGAGCAGAAGCTAACGAGGCGCTACAGCACGCAGCTCGACACTCCGGAACGACGGGGCACGTTCGCCCAGAGGCTTAAAGAAGCGCTCAAGAGGGAAAGCTCGGCCACGAGCACCAACGATTCTAGCGAGAGTAGTTACGCGGTTGGCATAAGCGTCGCCGGGAGCCAAGTTACCGATCATAATATCAAGTTCGTTCCATACATTTTTATGTGATTTCTTCTCACAAAAATAATTCATAAATGTTGTAAAAATGTTGGCAATGCCCCTTGAACTAAAATCACTTCTGGACAAAGTAGTTTCGCGTTACTTAATTGGTTTGTCATTGGTGATCGGAATAGGTGCTACACCACCTACATAACCATACCCGTAGTGAAGTTTTAAGCTAATTTTTGACTGTCTTGATATTATATCATCTAGATAGTAAAATCAATGCAAGCCACCAATAACAAGAAAATTAACACAATAGGAGTCGAGATATGGTTTTTAGTTCTTCAAAATTATGTCCTGAAACGATAAAACATCAGCGAAAGCTCTAATTGTTGGACTATGAATTTCAGGGTAAAGCGAGGGGGTTCCCGGGGTTTCGTATTGAGGGACGAAACGGTGGACGAAGAGTTTCTCAAAGAATCCCTCGAGGCTGAACAAAAGTGGCTGGGCAGGTTCCGTCAGAATCATCCGGCCATTCTGCAGCGCAAGGACACAGGGGGAGGCGGTAGCAGCAAGTACAGCTTCAGTACCGAGTACAGTTCTGGTAAAAGATAAATTCCCCTTTTTTTTTTTTTTTTTAAGTGAAAAACAATTGTCATCTTTTCGCTCCAAATTATGTATGCTAAGTAACATTATTCTCTATGAGAAGGGGTAGTCCTAGTAAGTGAAAATGAAAATTCGATCGCAGCACCATTACTTGTTGTACCACTTAACCTCCAAATATCTGCTTCGAAAACATATATTTTATAACATAATAAATCGTGGTTTTTCTGATTTGTCAAATTTTTATCAGTCTATAACGTAGTTTTTTTGGTAATTGAATTTTCCATAAAAGCCCATGTTAAACACTTGAAAACAATGATAACCCACTCACGCACACACACCTTGAAATCCTAACCTAAATTTGTTTGTTTGCCTCACGCAACAGATTTCTGCTCCGAGTTGGAGGAGGTCTACGAGCAACTTTCCAGGTGGCTGGAGGAGCCGGCCGATTCCGGCAAAGGCGGCGTTTGCGGTGGCGGCGAGCTGGACGCGCGAGACCGCGCTGTCGTCACGTTTGCCGGCTCGCTGCTGAAGCGCGCGCTGAGCGAGTCGTTCGCCGGCGTGCCGGTACAGGAGGGCGAGCCCCAGCCGTTATTCGATGCCAGCGATCTCCACCAGAGGCACAAGCTCGCGCTCGCCGTGCGCAGTCTCAGTTTCGAGCTGGCCAGGCAAAGGAATCGAGGGCAGCCATCGGTGAGTCTCAACTCAGGACTAAGTATAGATTTTTTTTTCTTTTTTTTTTTTTTTTTTTTTCATAGGCTATTTGAGAGCGAATGAGGAAAGATGTAAAATAGTTGGAGATACGAGGTTATTTTTTGTTTTTACGGCAACTTTCAATAGGATGTATCGTGGATGGTTTTTTGCGAATCATAATTTTTAATACAACATGGTTCGCAGGTTTTTCAAAATCATTCTAAAAATGTAGAGATGGAATGAGAGACAGTGGTAGAGGTATTTTACAGCTGGCTTAGTGCAAATTTAACAGAAATATTTTTCATCGCGATTTTTTCATAAATCATACGACAAATTATTTCATGAGACACATACAATATGTACATCATTTTTTTTTCATCACGATTTTTAACATGCAGTAACTAAAAATTTTAATGTACATTTTTGCTCCTGTGGTGTGTATGTAACTTATTTATTTATTTTTTTTTTTTTCATCAATTCAACCGAAAGTGATAGGTACTTACCCTCACCATCATGAAATGATAATAAAAGTATTCTACTTTCTGTTGAGGTGGGTAAAAATTTACTATTTTATGATGGTACAGCACGTATTTTAAACACACCCTTGTCCATCAACACAAATGTGAACAAAATAGTGACTTTGAGTTTATTAACTGTGCTGATGTTAGGATTTTGCACAACAAATTTTTCTAATGATCAAGTGCACTTAATCTGCTCATAAATTTTGTTGTTTTTTTCATAGCTGGTTATTTTTTTATCTCCGATTTGTGTGTGTATGTGTGTCTGTGTAAGCCGTTTTAACATGCACTTGTAAATAAAAAAAGACCACGTAATTTTTTTTTTTTTTTTTGTAAATTAATTACTGATAACTTTCATAAATAATTGAACATGGCTTTTCATCTAATAGTAAATATATAAATATAGCTATTTTTTTTATCGTTTTAATGATATTACGAGCTTTACCAACAAAGGGGATGAATAATAGCTTTCATTTAATAACTTTCCAATAAAAAAGGTTGATTTACCGCTCTCGGACAGAACAAATCACTTGAAAAGCTTGAAATTTAATGAAAAAAATTTTTTTTAAACCAAGCAATTACAAAAAAGGGTAAAAAAAAGGATAATTATTAGAGCAACGGTGGACTAAAATTGGACTTAAAAAATGAGTTTGAAGATGAAGAGGACAGATTCGAGGATGCATTGAGCGGTGAGCCAAAGCAGTTTCAAAAAGCGAAAAACTCGCAACGACGCAAACTAATGGCGGTTACCTTCACTTCCGAGATATATCAAACATTGTTTGAGGACGAAACGACAATAAGTTTGCCTAAACCAGAGAAGAAGGTGCCCATGACGTTGTATATACAACTCAATGACTTTTCACAGTTCAAAAATACTACTCAAACTGCCAAAAATATACCTAACCTAACTTGCTTCATACTTTTACTGTAGTCTGCAGTTTAAATGAAAAAAAAACTTCTTACTGAGTGTTCGGCTTTTGCTTTTCATAATTTCTACTATAAACGCAAACAACTGATATATATCGCTTTGGTGTTGTTAATTTAAAACTAACAAAACGCAATTTTCAAATTTTATTATCCTGTCTCTCGTTCTATCGACGAAACTGTTTGATGCTTGCGATGTCTTTGTTTTAAGGTCTTTTCAATTCGTTAAAAAATTACTTTCTTGAGTTTTTGCACAATAATCAATGTAAAAGCCGAAGAGAAAAGTTTTTTGATTTTCAAGATGACTCGAAGTTCAACTTCGCGTACCTGCCCAGGGGACCACAGACCAAGGGTTAATATTGCGTAACTTTTTCACTTGTCCAACTCTGCGTTCATGAGAAGCTACCTTATTAGAGTGTAACATACGTATATGAGATTATGATAAGTACATGGTTGCAAACCTGCAAGATAGCTTGTAATTTATCGATACCTATATTATATAAAAATAACTAAAATATCCATGATATCATAATTTCGCCATTTTATAAGTTTGCACTGCGGAGCTATAATCGCAGACGCTGGAAAAGTTACGCACGAACGCCCCAGATGAAAGCATGTCACAATTAATTTAAATACTCGTTTGGACAGACGCTTCATTTTTCCAATAAATTTTATTTAATAACGAGTTATATTGTTATAAAAAAATATCAAACTGCATCATTTTTTAATGAAAATTTATGTATGGAATATCTTTATAAATCTACATAACGGGATAGCGTGAGATGTGCAATTTTTACACGGGGAATTTCACATCTATACATGAAAACAAATTCTTTTTTTTTTTTTTTTTTTAAGGTACATAAAAGACAAGAAAAATCTTGGGAGGATTCCAAGGTTAATTTTGTTTAAGGGGGGGGGAGGCGGTTGCTTGGACTGTCGTCTGAGAAAAAGGAGGGGTTAACTTAGTTATTGATCACATTTGTATTACAAAGCAAAATTGTCCCCTTTTTTTGTCATGCAACGATGTACAATACTCTTTATGACATGACTAAATTTTCCACACATGCGTTTATTGACTAATTTTTATTTTTTGTTTTTACGAAACTTTTTCCGATTTTTTAAAATTTTTTTATTTTTTGTCAAGAACAAAAGTAGCCATTCCACGAGTCAATGTTTGTACAGGTTTCTCGAGAAAACAGTCCACAAGACGGTGGCCTGCTTCCCGTCGCAACCGGCAATTGGGGCTGCGGCTCGCGCCTCAAAGGCGATCCTCAACTCAAACTCGTCATCCAATGGCTTGCCGCTTCGATAGCCGGAGTGCCTAGACTTATATACTACACATTCGGTCATTCTACCCTGTCAAAGGTACACTAATTTTATTTAACTAATTTTTTGGTCAAAAATTTAAAACATAAATACTACGGCACGTTAATTTTGGGAAAAACTTTTTCGTAAGAGTTGTACAAAATTAGTGAAAATTAAGACTTTTTTTTCCTTTAATACATCATTATGGCAATTAAAACCATGATAAACAATAATTTTGAAACTTTGAAAACAAACATCAGTTATACAAATGAATTACAAACATCTGGTGGGTCAGGTTGAAAAGTTTAAGTGTATATAGACATTGGCAGTACTTTTTTAACATTTCATTACTTTATTTAAATAAATTTTATTTTTTTAATGTATTTAAAATAGTAACTAAAGTACAAAACATTACATTTTATATAAAATACTG